GTCCATCCAGCAAATATTTCTGAGGTGTGCCTCTGATGATGCTATATTTATTGCAGTGGCTGTAGTGATAAACAACTCAGGTAAACCGGTGCTCTCAAAGGGTTCAGCTAGACAGTGAGCAAACACATTATTAATAGAATTTACATGGAATAAATACTGTATAATAAATAGTTTGAAATGATACAGTAATTCGTATGAGGACACCAGTAGGCAATTTTAGTTTGAGTGACCCTGGAAACCCACTTTAAATAAGTGACATTTGAGTGGAGACCTATAAGACAAGAAGGAGCCAAGAGAGGGAACACACTGCAAAGACCCTGCCGCAGAAAGGACAAAAGGAAGTGGGGTGGTGGGCATTTCTCAGATCGGATAGGATATGTACAGTTATGCCAGGAGAAAATTTAGTTAAACAATTATAGAATTTCTGGTCATAAATGTAAAGTAAGTATCCTTGACAAAGGGATTTTCAAAGGTATTAATATATTAACATTTATTATGGTATCTAAAGGGATCAGGGACTATCATATTATTGTTTTGAGAACTACTTAACCATGGATCCATCCTCTCTTTTCCTTCCTGCCTCCTTCCCTTCTTCCCATCTGTCTACCTGTTCATCTGTCCTTTTTTCCCATCTGTTCATCCCTTGCTTGTTTTTTTTGTATTGTTTTGTTTTTTGAGACAATGTCTTGCTATGTTGCCCAGGCTGGCCCGGGACTCCCGAGCTCAAGTGATTCTTCTTCCTCAACTTCTCAAGTAGTTGGGACCACAGGTGTGCCCCACCAGGCCTGGCTTATCCCTTGCTTATTTTTAAAAAACACACTTAACGGATAGAATGTTCTGTGGGAAACCTTGGTAAATTGCTTAGTGAACATTCTTTAGATCCTCTGAGCCTCATAACATCCCTAATGTAAGTAGGGATTGGCATTCCATGCTGCAGAAAAGAGAACTGGGGCTTGGAGTGTGAAGGACCTGCCTAGCCTCTGATGGTAGTTGAACAGGTATGCAGATCACAAGTGAGACTCCAAGTCAAGTGCTCTTCCCAAACTCCATGCCACAGCTACGGCTTCAGCTGATAGAGCCTGGGAGATTGATTTTTCTAAGTGTTCTGATATTTTGATGCTTTCCAAAAACTAATAACAAGGACAATTTTGATAAAGTTTCCCTTTAGTGGGAAAATGTCTCCTTTTAAGTCTGTTGTCAACATTCAGTATGTGTATCTGTTGAGAACAATCATATTTTCATAGCTATTGGGGTACTTTGAGAAGCTGAGTGAGTAAATTGCATAGGGAACAAACTCATGCCTCCCCTGCCAAAAGGTGCAGAATCCTGTTTTCTTTGAAGAATAGCTGTCTTGGTCCTTTTGGACTGCTATAACAGAATACCATAGATTGGGTGGTTTATAAATAACAGAAATTTACTTCTTACAGTCCTGGAGGCTGGAAAGTCCAAGATCAAAGCTCCTCCAGATTCAGTGTCTGTGAGAATCCACTTCCTGCTTCATAGATGGCACTTTCTCACTCTAACCTCACACGGTGGAAGGGGCGAGGGACTTCTCTGGAGTCTTTCCTGTAAGAGCATGACTCTCATCGCCTTCCAAAGGCTTTACCTCCAAATACCACCACAATGGGGATTAAGTTTCAGTGGATAAATTTGTGTGCGTGTGCAGGGAGCGGAGGCATAAACACTGTCTATAGAAATGGCTAAATTACATTTTCTGAATAATAAACATAATGTTAAGAACTACTGACTGAGTATCTGCTAGAACAGGCACGGTGGGAGGTCATTTTGTATTAAACCACTCATCTTAACAACACGTTCAGTGGTTGGTACCATCAATCCACTTTTCTATTAAGGAAACTGTGGCCAGATTGGGGCCAACTTACCCCTTCCTCATAGCAGGCACAGTGCTTCTGGCCCCCACCATATTTCTGAGGTGCCACAAATAGATTTTCACTTCTTTTAAAATAAGAAAAGGGAAATGGACTTTTAGGATTAAAGATTATGCTTGTCATCATACCAACACAGTAATGGAATATAATTTTTTGATCACATTTTGTAAAGAAAGGAGGCTACGAAAGAAGCAGTGCCCAGGCCCCCTGGCTGTCAAATTATGGGGACCAGGCTAGGGCTCAGGGAAGTTGCAGCTCATTCAAAGCCATGCAGGAGAGATGGGCAAAGCAGGACCCACACAGACCCAAACCTGTGCTACTTTCCTGCCATACCTTGAGGCCTCATTTTCAATTGGCTTTGCCCCATACTCTCTAGCTTTAAGCCTCAGCATCATTTCCACAGAAACAGTGAGTGCCTAAAAACTGGGGCACTGCATCCTTAATTTTAGCACCCCATCTGCTCCTGGATAACGACAGACAGAAATGCACAAAACCTTATTTTCAGAGAGCCTCATCCCAGCATTCCTGAGCAAGTGTGCAGGCCCACCCAGGGCTTCATGAGAGCAAGCGCTGCCCTGACCTTGTTAAAGTGGACAGTTCAGTCCAGCAGAAGCGCCCCTCCCTGTTCCATTAGGCTGAGTGTGGAACCAGCCCCCTGGAACTCTGAGATAATGAGCAAGTGGAGAAACAGGTGGAAAGCAATAGTGCTGGAGTTTGCACACTCCACTGCTGCTCACCAGCCACTGCTGCAAATGAGAACCTTTGGGAAGTTTGGCCTTCATTTCCCTGCACACTGATAGGTCAGCGTGAATAAGGGCCATTTTACATTCAAGGCACAAGACACTTTCCTCCAGTAAATGGAGTTTTAATAAAGCCTTTGTGTGATTCCGGGTATCACAACAACTAAATCAGATCCTGGATGCATTAGCCTGGACCCTGGTGATGTTCCCTATGTAATATCACTTGTGATGCGATACTTACTACTTTTGGCTGAGTTTATCATCAGGAAGAGGTTTCTAAATTGTTGTAGATGGCATCTGCTTAGATAAAATTATGTGTCCCCTCTTTGAACCTCAGCTTCCACAGTGGTAAAATGAAAGCCTTAGGTTATTGCTAAACTCTTATCTAGGTCTGGATTTTATTTTTTGAGTGACTCCTAAGGGAGAGAGCCCAAGTTAAGGGCTGGGGTCGTGTTGTGGGGATCACATGATATTATGGATGGAATAAAAATGTGTAAATCTTATTCACCTTTCTTTTGACAGAGAATAACAACAGTCAGTTACAAAGGAAAAACTGTGGACTCAAGGACTTTAGATACTTCCCCTTTCTCTACCACAATACTAATGTTGCAAGATAAATATTAATAGTAACATTTCAGAGATGAGAAATTTAGGCCAGGGAGGTTAAGAAACCATAAAGTTTAGTGCCAGGGACTAAGTTGAAGACTAACTTACCCTTGAAGGCTTCATTATTTTTACCATCACCATCATCATGTTTATTGCCATTGTATTATAGTTACATGAACAAGAAAGAGGCATTCACATGGACAGTAGCACAAACAGAGTCAATATCAAGTTATATTGGCTCCAGTTAAGGTGTCCGCTGATGACATTTGCCTGGATTTAGATTGTGTAGGAAATAAAGGGTGTCGGACATTCTAGTTGATAGAGCATCCAGGAAAGCTAGTTAACTTTTTCTTTTGAGTTAAACTCAATCTTCATTTATTGGGAGCAAGGTCCAGGGCCATAAACACAGGCTCACCAATGTAACTGAATTTCTTTCCTTCCCTTCAGACAGGTTGCAAGCAGAAAGCTCTGTGCGTGTATGTGTGTGTGTGTGTGTGTGTGTGTGTGTGTGTGTGTGTGTGTGTGTGTGTGTGTG